TGCATACTTTGGAGGTAGTGCTTTGATCAGGTCTGCGGGTAGTGGCTCTTTTGCACTCGCCGATCGGATCAGGCGGGCGTAAGACATTTCTGTTGTGAAGCCATAGAAGTCTCTCGCAGTGGCATTCACAGCACTTGGTGGGTTAGTGCAGCACATTGAGGTGGATATGGCGCACTCACAGAAGACCGAAATCTGACACCAGGTCATCAATCTCTGATGCTTCCTTCCGTCGTGCAGCTCTTTTGCTGATGGGTCTAGTTGCTTTTATGGTATCGGCAGACGCTCTACGCGGGGTCGAGTTTTCAGACATGTCTAGCATTAGAACGCCTGAAGACTTCCGCCTCGCCCGTGCTTCCTGAATCTTCTTCTCGAGCTTCTCGACTCTGGATTCCAATGTAGCAACATAGCTCCGTTCTTTTCCGCGCGCAAACTGATCGTTCGTGCTCGAGCACTCAGAGGCCCGATTAGACTTTTCACAGGCGGTGCATGCGGGCAGCTTTCCATCGCACTTGACTTTTGCGGCTCGACATCGCGAACAAGCAGCCACGGGTCTGCTCACCCGGAGCAGCGGCGTTTCCAGCACCATGTTCCTTCTATCTTAGGACAAGTAAGTATGCATCGCGTGGTCACCTGACGCTGGGCGAATTACAGTGCGGAAGGGTTCAGACGAGAACTGGCATAAAAAAGGAAAGCGGAATCAAATGAGATGGCACTAGGCACGATGTATGAGTATCGCTGTAGACTACATGTTCAAAGGCGGTACGGAGATGGAAAGCCCTTCGCCTGACGATCGATATAGACGGGACGGCACTTACCAGCTCGGTGCAATGCACGTTGGGGGTCTAGCGCGCAGAGATCAGGTCCGCGGACAGCCTTGCCAAAAGGGCGGTACAGCACGCGATGTATTTGGTGGTTTGGCGCTCTCGTGGTGTTGAACAGCGGGTTGACGGGTGGCGTAGCGGGCTCGCGGTACCCTGGACTTCGTAATGCCGCGGCTCTGTGGCCGAATGGAGAAGCGGCGGACGGCGGTGTTGCCCCGCTGAGTCGGCCAGGGAGAAAGCGATGCTGAAAGGGACGGGTGTGACGCGGTTGCGAGCGACGGGATGAGGATAGACGTATGCTTGGCCGAGCGTTCGAGGCCCAATTCCAGGAGGCAGCCTATCAAGGGCCCGGTCGCGCTTGATGCCCACGCTGCACGTCTTTCTTCGGCTCCCAGAGTTTGGACAGAGGCCGGGCCTGTCACCATCAGCCTGCGCCGCACCAGCGACGGGGGCGTGTCATGCTTCGACTTCCTTTTGGCGCCGTCTGATTGGGGACGCTCGGTAATGCGCAGGCGTTTTTTGTGGCCCAGTCGACGTCGCGCTTCGTTCCTTCTTCCTGGTTAAAGATACACCCACCGGACGACACTCCGGTGGTACTGCTCGGCTGCTCCTCGACCCAGGCACCGCTACCGTATTCAGGAACTCGCTCCCACATCGCCATCTCGACGGCCTCACGGACTGAGGGCGCAGGACCAGACCTTGCCGGCGCGACAAACCTCCCGGGCATGGACGTGCGCGTCGATCTCCCCCACATCCCAGGCGCATCATAAGCCAGCTCCCTCGTCCTCCTCCGCCCGTGGTGAGAGACGAGCGATGGAAGTCGCGACTGCGACACACTCCAAGACGGAAGGGGCCCCGCACCCGCCGGAGGAAGGCACCACCACCACCGGCCAGAGTCGCATCGCCCACACTCTGACAGCCTGCTGTCGTTGCCGGACGGTAAGCATCATCCCGGAGCTGGCTCGCTACGTAATGTCCACTGACCAGAGCCCAGCGCAAGACAAGATGCGACCCCGGACTCCCTCGATGCGGGCCATGCGAGCGCACCAATTCCCACTGCGAATACTACGACCCCACCAAGGGACGCAAAATACCCCGGAACTATGTCGTGCACCTGCAGCAGAAGGTGCGCGACCTGGAGAAGCAGCTGGCTGATCTCGAACGGGACGACGTGGAGCCGGACCCTGAAGATGTGATGCGTGGGGCAGCCACGGTGCGTGTCCAGGACTCCGACGAGTCCAAATTCCTAGGGCCTTCCAGCGGCATCACCATCACCCGGCTGGTGATGCAGCTGGCGAAGCAGTTCACCGAGTCAAAGAGCATCTCTGAGATCGTGCCACATGCCGAGGCGAAGAACATCAAGGACACCTTCGCCCAGGAAGATCAGCGACCCACCTCCAAGATCTACCCCATGGTCAGCGACGTCGCGGCCGAAGAACTGCCTAACAGAGATCTCACCAACCTACTGGTAGAACTCTTCTACTGCAAAGGCGCGTAAGGCTGTCTCCTTGCAACTCCGACATCAACTGACTTGACTAGTGCACCCCATGTACCCCATTTTCCACGAACCAACCTTCACCAAAGACGTTGATGAGGTCTACAACGGCTCCACGGATCCTTACCAGAACTACTGTCTGCGCATGGTCATCGCCATCAGCCTGCAGAAGATGGACACCCAGTATGCAGGTCTCGCTGATAGCTACTATCTCGCCGCCCTGAAACACTTCGAAGCCGCCATCAAGCCTATGAACCTCAAGACCCTGCAATGTTTTGGCCTAGTCGCAGGCTATTCGCTCCTGACACCAACGAGGACCGCAGTCTACTACATAATAGGTCTTGGCGTACGATTGTGTCAAGCCTTGGGCCTTCACGAGGAGAAGACAATCAGCATGGGCTCTGGTGGACGTCAGGCAGACCCTCTCGAAGTCGACATGCGCCGCCGGTTGTTCTGGAGTATACTTACCATGGATTACGGCTTGTCGCATAGTCTTGGACGACCCGCACATTTCGCGACACGGCGGGAACACATCGATGTCAACTTCGGCGAGCTCGTCGACGATGTTTACATTACCAGGGAAGGCATCAAACCCGCACCACAAGCATCGCTCAAGAAGTGGATCGGCATACATTTCTACAAAATGCGCCTGCTTCAACTCGAGATACGCAAGATGCTGTACCAGAGGAAGAAGCCCGAACCAAAGGATGACCAGCACCCTTGGTTCGCTCAGATGCAGACAAAGATAGAAGCTTGGAGAGACACAAGCCCTGAGATGGACGGTGGATCAGGGCTTAACAAGGTCTGGTGAGTATGTAGCTTTGCATGCAAAGTACCTCGACTAATCCGACTAGGTTCATCGGTCGATACAATACCATGGTCGTCTTCATGTACCGCCCTTCTCCACAAGTACCTCGCCCGTCCCTGGACGCCGCCATCCGCTGCTACGACGCTTGCCAGTACAACATATACATGACTATGAAGCAGATCGAGACAAAGAGCGTCGACGTTACCTGGATCTTCACACAAGCTATCTTCATGTGCATCAACACTATGCTTTGGACATTGTCATACTCCGAGGTGCGGAGACGTCATAGCCGCGAAGAGGTCGAGGGTCACTTGAAAGTGGCTATGGAGTCGATCAGGCAGGCTTCCGAGCGATGGCCTGGTGTTGAGTCCGCTATCGGTCTTTACTACAACTTGATACAAGCCTGTATGAGGATCTTCGACAAGGATGGCGACGTTCCCATCTCCGCCAGCTCACCTTCCGACACTGCATCCGTGGGCACTGGCAACATTGTAGATGGTATCAATCGGTCACGAACCACAAGTCCAGCAACGGCGTCTACATCATCGGTTCGCACGCCTTCCGACAAGGTACCAGGACCTGGACCTTTCGGCTACTTACCGGAACACAACCAGCAACTCTTCAACCTTGGCAACGGCCTATCGAACCCTCCCAACCCGTTCTCAAGCGCACCGACACAACAGGCTGGACTGCAGACGTCGCCTCAGCAGCCCCCATCAATGGCATACAACGAGCTGAGCCCGAAGACCACGATGGACAACAATATACCCTCCTACAGCTACGCACCTACAGGCCAATTCGCGCCGCTACCCACTACCTTTGCCGAGTTACCTACATGGAACCCAACGTTCACGATGCCGCCTCAAGACAACTACAACATGACAAATATGCAGATGGCTTCATCGCCTTTCTACAACGAGGCGTACGCAGCGAATCAAGGCTACGAAATGGCAGACTATCTAAACCCGGCCTGGAGTCAGGATGCTAGGGGTACTGGGCTCAATCAGCAACAACAGATGGAGCTGATGCACGACTTTGAAATGAATGAGGCCAAGAACATCGAGATGATGATTGAACAGAGCCACCAACTTTTCCGTCCACCGCAACTACAACAAACCTACTGAGCGCGCAGTCAATGTGCGACCATCAAACCAGAGCATTAAACACACTAGGTCCTGGCTTGTCTGCATTGGAGTACGAAGACAGATACTACGCGATTCAGAGCGGACATCAACCCGGTCGGCTGTCATCTCGATGGTTGAAGATCTGACGCATCCTTTCTCGCATTGGAAGGATCATTTCCCGGCTTGGCATTCGCGTACGAAAGGTTCTCGCATGCCGATCTTGTCGATCTTATCCAGCAGATTCGTCCGGTGGCAGCTGAATCAGATCAATCGCATGAGTAAAATTCTCTGGGGGCCAAAATCAAAACCTTGCCCCAGGGATCCTGAGTCGCCCGGGATGGTCCTTGCACTTCGGTCTCAACTTTGTGACGTCCAGCCTGTGCTAGAAGTCTAGAGTTCTCCATGGACGCCAGCGGTCGGCTCCGATGAACAACCCTTAGGGCGAAGAAACAATGGAAGCCAAGATCGGGAAGACTGGCTTGGACTCCGTAAAGGAGATGTGATTATAAGCCGATAGCCCAAAGGCAGATGCATGACATGCAGCCTAGTAAGGAAGCGACTGAAAGCAACAAGGCATCATGCAATATAGATATTCAGCCGGTCTGAATACCCTTCACATACAATGTATAACAATCATGATCAATTCGTCCATCCTTCTATTCAGACTCTTGCCTGTTGCCGTGTCATACTCCTCATCATCACTTTCCAATCATCCACAAGCCTTCAATGTCTCTCTGCCCTCCTCTCACAACCTACTCCCCCTCCTCAATCCCACCCAACCTCCCCACCTCCCTATCAACCCATCCCCCGACCCTCCCCACAACCTCCTCAATATTAACATCCACCTCCATCTCCTCTTCATCACTCTCATCCACAACCTCCTCCCACACATCCCTCATAACCTGGTACACCCAACACCCGCCCTTCATCACCGTGACATGTTCCCAATCGTTCACGATTGGACGTGTGTCGTCTAGTTCTTCGATTAGGTCGATAAGGGAGGTCAAGGGCTCGGACTGGTGGTCTGAGAGAATGTTTTCGAGCGCGATGCGGGCGCCGCGTGTGAAGGGGGTGAGGTCGCGGGGGGTCAGTGGGGGGAACGGTGCGAAGGTTTGGGGTGCGAGGGAGGTTGGAGTTGTTGGAGGTTTTGGCCGTGAATCAGGTGGATTAGCGATGAGCGGAGGCGAAGGGCTGGTTGGTAATACGGCGGTGTCAGACCACGTGTCCGAGAGGACATTCTCTTCTGCGGGCATAGCGGTTTTTGCGGGAGGTGGCTCGAACAACTCAAAGGGTGAGGACATGGCACCTCTTCGCGGCCGTGTTGTAGTATTCCGCTTTGGCCGTGGAGCTACTGGAGCCTTTTCCCGCATTTTCTTGACTGACGGCGCTGGTGTTTTGGGCTTCTTTGCATCTTGCTTGGCCTTGGAGAGGTTAGTAGGTTGCTTTCCTCCTGTGGTCATTCCACTTCGCGTTTGTCGGGTCTCGCGCGTCGTACCGTTCCTCGAGATGGGTTCTGGGTCGGCCTTTTCAACATCGGCGTCCTTGTCTCCATCCACTGCCACTTCTTCTTTTCTGCCGAAGACAAGTGTCTTAAGCTTGCTCGTAGTCTTGCCGGTAGCTTTGCGCGTCGCTCGCTTTGTCTCTTTGATACTCTTGGCAGGGGCCTCTTCCTTCATTTCCTCGCCCTCTTCATCTGAGTCTACAACTTCCGCACTCTTGTATGGTTTCGGTGGACGTCTGCGCTTGGGGTGGTGATTGGGTCCTGAGACGTGTACTGGGTTGTGCGTAGACGGTTTACGGGTCTTGAGCTTGACGATGAGACTTGGTGGGTCGGTAGGAGTCGTGCTGTCCTTTATCGAAGGTGGCAGGTTGGCGGGCGGTTTGCTGGGTGTGTTCTCGGCTTGCTGTTTGTTCATTAGTCTGGTTGAGCTAGATGCATAGAGCGCCGTACTCACCGCAGATAACCTGCTTCGAGTGTGAAGACGCGGAGATGCTGCTAGGCTATTCGGCGTTTTCCTGCTCTTGGCTGTCGGTGATGAGGGTGTCGGTGAAAGCCCAGCGCTCGTGTCTCCCAATTCAGAATTGAGACCGAAGAGATGGCGCTTAGGATTCTTCGCGTCGCTATTGGGCGTGCCGTGGGTCAGGCGCATTCTCTTTTGCCTGGCTTCCACTGCGATAGCAATTCTGGCGGCTTCGATGTCTTTCGTCTTCTTTCTGCCTCTCTTGAGCTTGCCTTTTCCTTTGGATGGCTTTCCGTAGTCTGACTCGGATTCGTAGAACTGTTCTTCCGCGCTATCTGGCTCGTCATATTCTAATAGCTCGCTCGATTCTATGACTTCTTCCATTTCATGTGACTGCTCGTGTGGCTGCTCATTTTGGTTATCAGGTTGCTGGGAGGGTGTCGCATCTTTCACTAGAGACTCGTGCTCGGTAGTGCTTTCGCGTTCTGGGACTAACTCTGCATTGCGACGCGTGTTTTCGTCGTAAAGCGCTCCGATAACATCGAGCACCCGCTGCAGAACAGAAACTACTGGAACTCCTGCTTTGATCGACTCCGGAACGTTTACGTCGATGGCAGTGTCGAAAGCGAGTCGGCCACGATGATGAATGTCGGGTAGCAGCTCCAGTTGTGTCTCGAAGTTTTGTCTGCGCTTGTGAAGCTCTGCAAAGCTCCTAATGTCGTCAAGTGTCCCATTTTTGATCGCATCGTTGATTTCATCTTGAGTGGAACCCATAGTTTATTCTCGTGCTGCAACGAGGAGGCGGGGAGGAACAGATGATAGGAATGGAAAGTGGGAAGCAGTGCGCGAACAGGAGTCGCAAACAGACCCTTTAGTCGTGATCCTTGCGCTAAATATTTCTTCAAGCTTGGGGGAGGGATTGATGATGTTGCGACACGGCAAGCCCAAAGACTACCTAGGTAAGTAAGTGGGAAGTGTGTTCGGGCCCCCTGTCCGGCTCGTCACGGCCAATTTACTACACGCAGCGCAGCTGCCGGTCTTGTCAACACTCATAGTCGCGCCATCAAATGAAAATTACAGCTAGCAGCAAGTAGATCGCTAAGATACAAGGTCGATGGTCTCTTTTCCGCGTCGCCGCTCGTATTGACCGTGACACTGACATTGTGATTTACCCGTGCCGTGGGCGCGCTATGGCTTCTACGTTGAGCAATGTTGTAGTCTTGTAGTGCGTAAAGGTCACTGGAGACCTCCAGGCTCATCGTCTGCTGAAGGTTTCATGCCCGAATACATACGGCTGAAGCCGACATTTGCTTGAAGGAAAGTGTACGTTCGTTGAGAGTCCCTGCTTGAGACTACTGGGTCTCTTAGTGAAAATGATTTCCACGTTTAGCTACACCACGCTGTAACTGAGTGAGCGTGCAGTAGACCCACTGGATGCTTCTAGAATGTCGTTGAGTTGCAGCATGACCATCACAGCAAACTTTGCCTTCTACATTAAGCGCGATCATAATAGCTCGATACCCACCATAGATCTTATTTAGTACGCACAACCGCCATAGACATCACCACCTAGGTAACCCAGCATTGCTCGTACGAAGATAGTGACTAGCAGAAGCAGAAGAACAAGCAAGAAATGAAGCGGAAGAGGGGGTCTCACCTCGTCGTGATGAGCCCAGAGTGGAGCAAAGTGAGGGAAGTTCAAACACACCAGCAAGCCTTTCGTGCCGGCGTGGACTACGTATGCGACATTCTCGTTCGCCTTGTCAGACATCCCGACTTAGGCTATCCTCCTTCGTCGGTCAGTACCGTGTCTGCCAGCATCAACGGATATAGATCACGCGTCAACAACTCCAGATCCACCGGAAGAGCTTCTTCGTTATCATGCATTCAAGACTTCCATGCTGGTGCCACGACGGCTTTGACGAACATGGAACTAAGAGCAGTAAACCGTCGACTTGAACGGGAAGCGAAAGAAATCATCACGTGTCTGGAAATTTTGGTGCATCATGAGTTTGTACGTTTGATGGAGCTGGAGATATACGGAAGGCGGTCGGATCCGGACGCTATGCGAAGAATGGATGAGTTACGAACTGTCAGACGGATGGTGGGTACGATAAAGCTGGTGAGGTGAGTCTCGAAATTGAGAGCGATGGTGTCGGAAGTGAAGTACAGTTCAAGTATTCAGGTATGTCGTCCTTTGAGATGCTGAAATCGAGGTCTTGGTCATGTTCGTGATGTAGAGAAGAAAGAAGGAGCATTCGCGTGTGGTGACGTAATGCCGATGAGCCGATTGGCCACAGTCCAAAGCTAAGCCCAATCCAGACTAAGCCTCCTTTTGTGTGCTGAAAGTCAACAGAATCCCATTCATTGTCGTCTCCTCTGTGCGCATTCGTTCTCTATATGTTTTCACCATCGCACACTCGCTCGCCGAACTTCCTATCTGCACACACTGCCAAATTTACAACGGATTACCTAGGTGTTGTGTTTATAATCAGCATAATGTGACAGCAAGGTCAAGGTGAAATGACAAAGAGTGCATTTCACACAACACGACAAGGCACTCGAACTGTATATTATGAGTCCCACCGTCGACGCAAATCATTCTACGCCCCGTCGCTCAACTGACCATGTCTCAACCACCAGATGACCACCCAGCCACCGCTGTCGACGGATCTCAGAAACCCAAAAAGAAATCTAGAATTCCACGTCGAGACAATAACGCCACCCAGGACCATGCCTGGCAGTTACCTAATACCAACAGCTTGGACAATCCATTCTTATACGCCACCACCCAATACACTATTCTTTCTAGTCTTGTCGAGCACCTTCGGCCCCAAGATGTTCTCCGACTAGCTCAAACTTCACAGACGGTGTACTCAAACTTGGACTTCTCAAGCGCCGCTAGCCGTACCAATCTCCGTACAAAGGTACTGTGCCCAGGCTTTGGTGTCCAACAACGCAAGCATAAGCACAAGCCTGCTGGCGAAGGAGATTGGCACGTGCAAGCATCGTGTGGCAGCGAGGTCAACGATCCAGATATGGAGAGCCGTCCATGTGTCACCTGTGGCATGAACACTTGCGATGAATGCAGGTTACATGTGACGTACCATTCCATGACCGAGGATAATGGACCACACGGATTAAGGTGGTGGGCAGGCCACATTATGATGGCAAACACTCCCGTTCGCCTTCTCCCGCCTGTCGACGACTTCCACTGGTACCCACTAGATCCACTAGAAGACGTCGAGGAGAAGTCATGTTGGAAGGTGCCACTTGGCAAGGGCCGACCCCAGCATGACAGTGGCCGTGTCGGCTTGCCTTTTGACTCCAATGAAGCGGGCCAAGCCGAACCGCTTGACAACCTACTTGACCAGGATCTTGGCGACACTCTGCTGCCCAGATTCAAGGGTTCTTCATATGGGTCTTCCCGTACTAGGCCTATCGCTGGCCCGCTGGATCTAGTCGTTGCGGGCCGCTTGAAGCGGCTGTGCCCGACGTGCTCGACCACAGAGGTCAAGCACCAGTGTACTTGCACATTTCGAAAGCGGTTTCTCGATCGATGGCTGTGTATCGAATGCTATCTCAAGAACGAAGCTCGATTTGATCCTGCTCGAACGGTGAAGACGCTTAGGACAGATGAGCAAGGAGAATGTCCGTGTGGGAACCCGTTTGATCCACAGAATGAGGATTCGTGGTTCGCGTGCAAGTGGTGCGATGGCCGGGTGCTCGGATCGTTCGAGAAAATGGATCGCGAAGAACAGGAAAAGTCGTTCGTGCCGGACGAGGAGGACGAAGACGAGGAGGGGGCCTGGCCGGAAATGCTTCCACATGGGGGCCGGTCTAATCTGGATGGCCGTCTGATCGACCAAGCGATCGAGGATGCCGGCTCTAAGGCGCCTGGTCTGTATCTACACATGGTTTGTCAAGAGGTGCTAAGCCGGAAGCATCTTCTACAAATGGACGCATACAAAAAGAAAATGGAGGAGGGCAAGGACGAGGAATTTAGTTTCAAGTACCAGTATCATAGGTCGAGAAGCTTTTGACGGAAGACTTAGGGGTTCAGCTTACGATGTATATCGGAGCTGCTCTAATATCATACTATACACTAGCATCCACTCATAGTTCAATGAAAGTAGTCGAACAACAATGAGCGAGGCCATACGAGCAAAGGAAACCCTGTTTGTCACATACCCTTCTTTGTAGTCAAACTATTTCTACCATAGCAAGCGTCCATGTGCCGATCTAGATATTCATATACGTCATCAAAGTGTATCATCCATGTTGTGCACTGAATAAGCTTCTCAACTAGGAGGCGAACTTGTACTAGACCTACAGATCCACACACATACACATACAATTCCGTCTAATGTCTCACAACACATTCTTCCCCTTTCTAGACGATGCCGCCTACTCCCGTCGCCGCAACGCCGACCTCATGCTTGCGTACCAGCGGCAGAAGAAAAAGATTGAAGCCATGGCACCCTTTAGCACGCCTGATTTGGAAGCGGAATACAGTACCAAGTACAGGGATCTACATGCAAAATTGGGCGGTGTGCAAGAGCGCGACAACATTGTGAGGGAGGCGATGAAAATGACTCTGGGGAACATGACGCGGGATGAGATCATAACTTGGAGCTTGAGGAGTGAAGCATATGGCAGCGAGAGTAGGTATCCAACAGGTGCGACATAGCACATGATGGGGTAGTGGACGTACAGTCTGCGGAAGCTATGGTAGTGAGGAGATGTACTATTGGTACGAACATTCTGTGCTTCTAAATGCTAGCCATTCTTGAGCGCCGATGATGCAAATGCTGATGCTACGCCAGACCGAGACACCGATTACGCTAATACGCCTGATATGCAAAACGCCATTACCCGAGATGGGTGAAAAAGAAAAAACCACGACGCAGACATCTATGCTTCTTCTTGGGCCGCTGGCATTCCTGACCATGCAGTCGATGTACAACTCGTGCGCGCCTCGTGTTCGTCAGCCTTCCTCGCATCGCGAACCGCAGCGTCAACGGCGTCGTGAAGATCGAGATGGAAGAACGGCCTATCAACCCCGTAAATCGGGTAGAACTTCTGCTTCTCACTCGTAGAAGACAACTGCACTTCAAGTGCATTTGTTTCTGTGGAGTCCTTGCCCTGCTCTTCGTCCCTGGTTCCCATTTCCCTCCGTGCAGCTTCAACTTCTTTTTGCTCTTCGCATGTCGCGCCTGCGAGACTTGCCGACACGGTGTAGGCTGGACAACAGTTTCCTGTGTATTCCGCAGTCACGATAGTCGGGAAACCAAAACCTGCAAAGGCGAGCGCTTTGCGCGTCCACCGGTTGTGAACACCAGCAAAGTGCCATTCTACCAAACCGGGCGCTGCGTGGCGATCAAGCGTCTCGCGTAAGCTCTTCAACCCGTCGATACTGGTGATGTCGAGAATATTGACTGTGGAGAAGTCAAGAACAACGGCTCGCAAGACGGGCAGACATGACGACTCTTCGATTAGCTTCTCCGTGGGTGGCGCGTCGCACCACAACCGATCGCATGCGCGGATACCGTCATCCGCTTGAGTCCGGCGGGTGTTTGAGGTAATGTAAGAGGCAAGGTAGTCAACATGATAAGCTTGGTTGATGTAGTTAAAGTTCTCGCTGAAACGATAGATAAAGACGCCGGGGTATGCCGGCTCCACGGTGATGTTCGGGTTATGGTTGTCTGTGACGTCGTAGGGCATATACACTTGCCGAGCTTCCTGCATAGCTACAGCACAATGCGTCTGTTCCCCGTGTGGTTGTGAAGACAGCGACGCGCTTGATGTCGACACGGACTGATCACAGGAGCGGTCGTCGCGCACGATGCGCGTCACCTCAACAGCACCTCGGAATTTGCCCAGACTTTTCGCCATGCGGACGAGCAGCATTGCAAAGGAGAGTCCGACAGTGATGTAGATCGCCGTCTCGAGATCGGTGAAGAATGCGATGACAACACCACAAACCCAGATGAATAGCTCGAACGGCGACAGCTGGTAGTACTTGTGCAAGTCCCTCGGTCCTTTGATCAAATCGACAGTGGAGTGTATGATCAGACCAGCAAGCGCTGCGTTCGGGATGTAGTAAAAGACAGCTGTGAGCGCATACAACGCCAACACTAGGACCACTGCGCTGAAGACGCCGGATAACGGAGTGCGCACTGCAGCCTTGGAGAGAACGGCAGAAGCACCGAAAGAGCCTGTGCACACATAACCACCCACAAAAGGACTCAGTATGTTGGCAGCGCCTTGTGCGATCATCTCCTGTGAAGGGATGACAGTATAGTTGTGTTTGCGTCCGAAGTTCTTGGCGATAGCGATGTGTTCGACGATGAGGATGATGATGATCGCCGGGAGTTCTGTAGCCACCAAGCCAAAGAGCTTTCCGTCCATCTTTGGTACACCTGCATGGCTGAAACCCTTCTCAATATGACCTACGATCCGGAACTTTTCTTCGCCTGCAGGTGTCGTCCTATGTACCAGCCAGCTGATAAGGGTGTACAACAAGATAGTGAATGTGAGACGCAGCGAGGAGATCATAGACCACATCTTCTTCTTCCGAGGTTGTCGCACCTCCATCTTAGCGCATAGGTTCTTGATCAAGTATAGGAGTACGATGGATGTGATACCGATCGCCGCATCCAGTCTTGCCGTGGGTAAGCCCTTCAAGAAGTTGACGTACACCTTGTACGGAGACTCACGCGTGTTGATCCCTGTAATGCCCATCAAAGTCGGCAGCTGTGTCGAGATGATAGTAATGCTGGCCGAGGTGACGAATGCTGAGATGGGAATGTACGGGATGAACTCGATGATGAAGCCGAGACGAAGAATACCGAAGACGAGAATAATGGCGCCAGCAAGGAAGCTTAGCGCATGTGCAATCTCCTGAGGTTGATACACCCCTGGGTGTTCCGCTTCGATTTTGCTGACGGCGCTTCCAATCAGTAAGGACCCAACTGCTGTCGTCTATTCTCGGATTAGCTGGTTACGGCATAGTGGAATGAATAACTTACACCGATGACGATATCTCTAGATGTACCAAAGATCCAATATAAACACGCGCCTGTAAACGTAGTGTAAAGACCAAAGGCGGGTGACAGGCGCGCAAGCGAAGCATATGCCATGGCTTGTGGAACGACGACAAGACCGACCGTGATACCTTCATTTTCTTTAGCAATGACCAGGAAGGGGTCCAGGTGTTTTGTAAATACCAGCAATAGCGTCTCCAGTCAGCCAATGTAAGTTATACCGCCTCAGCCACCGTGCGCTCGGAAATAGTTCGCGTACATACTCTGCGGCGCCATGTGAGGTGGGAATGAATTCGCGGAACCATTCTGCTACCGATGGATCCTCTTCGATGTACGTCTCGCCAACTGTTTCGTGCGCTATATCTTTAAGGGAAGTCCTCTGCGCGCTGCGGTCTTCTGAAAAGGTGCGTAGATATTTCATTATCCTGCTGTTGACGTCCGTAATTATGTGTGTGGATGCAACCAGGCTACCAGAGAAGAACTGCGACCTCAAATTGGTAGGCGCATATACGCCGAGTCAAAGTGATGTAACAAGAATAAGGGTTGTGGTAGTTGCGTCCGGTCAAACTTGGTACGCCAATTTGGGAGGTCGTGGATATAATACAATGACAAAGTTGTTTGCAAAGAGAAAAGAGGAAATCACCAGGTTATCAGTAGACGGACCGAGCGCCTCTGTAGGAATCGGGACGTGTTATCCATTGAATTGACGCACAGTCATGCGCTGTGCTTGGAGCATTTCACCGATGTTCCGAAAGTTCTCTTCGGGCGAGAGGTCTTGGCAGAAGTCGCGCCGATAAGATACTGCAACTCACCGCTGTCACTGCCATCTCGAAACGCGATACGCGTCTGAAACGCCATTATTCGGTCATTTCGAAAGTATTGGGTCCCTCTCGAAGTGTTTTGACGTCTTCATACGTTCATTACGCGTGGTGAATATATCCAGTCGCGACGCGTGCAAATCGGTACCTCGCCGGCAGGTCTGGCGAGATCCGCGGATTCACGAACACATCTTGGCAAAACGGAAGTCGGTGTGGCAAAGCCGCAATTGGACGATGTTGGGACGTGAGGAGGTGCAGGTGATGATGGGGATGCGGCGACGAAGCGATCAGGAACAGTGTTCTGGTCCATGTGTCAGTGCCAAGCTTCACGCCACGACACTACGGCAAGCTTCAGGGGTCCACTTCGAGCAAGTGGTCGTGCGCGCTGCGGGGAGGAACCAACAGTTTCGTCACCTGGTCATCTGGGTGTTCGACTGACAGACGACATGAAGCTATCGCTGGCTCAACTCTTGGTGTGTCGACTGGAATGCTTTCTTTGATTTGGTGCTATGTGTGTAGATAGGCTAGAAACTTCTCCGGAGGAAGAGCGGTCACGGGGAATACCTACAGTTTGACGCAACAAGCAAATGTACATCGCATACGGCGATCATCTTGGTATGTATCTTGCCGAACGGGACTAAGTTCACGCATTCACCGGTGGTGCCCTGCATGATTCTACCAGGACAAGCGTGCAGTAGACTCAGGACTCTTAGTCCAGTCCCCATGGATCTTCGAAGCCAGCAGCTGACTCGACGTCTTCCAGATCTGGTAGATCATCGTCATCGTCATTGTGGCCATCTTCGTCCTCGTCTCCGTACACGTCCTCGTCTTCTGATCCATCCCCCGCGTGAGCATGCATAGAGTCCTTCTCGTCGCAGATACAGCAAGTACATTCAACGTGCTCACCCTGGATTCTCTTCCACTGGCGGATCATAGCTCGTCCCAAACGTTCTCCACGGATGCACTCGCCGTTTACGTACACCGAAAGAGACCCGTCGCGGTTCTCAGCGTAGCCAAACTCGTCCAGAGGCAGACCCGCAAAGTCAGCCGCCGAATGGTCCTCCTCGTCATCTCCGTTCTCGAGTTCCTCTTCTTCTTCTTCGCTGTTGTCTTCGGCGTTCTCACTAGTGGCATCATCCTCGGTGCCCTGCTCGAGCTCTGCGATCTCGCCTTTGCACCAGTTGCACATGACTTTTGGCATGATGTCTGGTGTGAACTCCGTTCCGCAGCCACACACATGAATGTGGCCTTGTCCGACCTCGCTTGCTTTTACAACATGGCGGCGCAGCTGTTCATCAACGTTTACCTCCTCGATGTAGCAGTGCATACACAACCATCGGTCTAGGAAGCGCTTCCGTAGGGTGCAGGAACAAGGCGCCACACCTTGATTCTGGCGTTCCAGGTAACAGGAAGGGCATGCGAGGTCTTTGCGCTTGTTGACAGTCAGATTGAGAAATGAGACGATGTTATTGCCAGAGTAGGGGAATTGTGTACGCCCACGGGGACTGATGAACTGGTGGGTGCCCAAATTCAGATCGAGAATCGGCTCAATCGGCTCGGGATCGCCTAGAGCACCGATCGCTAGAGGAATGTGCACGCGGCCCTGGTCATGGCGAGGTAGCATCTCCTTGACAGGTAGATGCCAGGCGCTGCCATCGGAGTTCTTAGGTGGACATACTGCAACAGCCATGGGGTTGAGGAAGTAGTAGCCTGCCCACCATCGACGCTGATCGAGCCCAGAATCGTCTGTCATGAAGTTGTAGAAAACATGGATGCGGCACTCGTCGCAAGTGTTGACACCACATCCCACACACGGGTTTGACTCTGTTCCAAATCCACCTTTCGAGCAAACCATCACAGGATGGAATGTCTTCGCTGGACAGGGGCAATGAGTAGACATCCTGACGAACGAACCGAATCCGGAGCACAGTGTCTTGGAAAGAAGATTGGCTTTTGCGCTCGCATCGTCCATGCGAATGTGGCCATGAACAGTTTGGCAGAGCTGGGTAATAGTGACGAGTCTCTCTGGTACCAGGTACGAGACTAGGGCCTGCAGATCAGAATTAGTAAGGCGCATAGAGTAAGAGGCTCACAGACGTATGCCTTACCTCTTGGATTGGGTACAAAGCCAGAGCGACCGCGAGGGGATTGGTGATATTTGACACCGCCGGCGGTAGCGTCCAGGCGCGCTGCGCTGTCTGCTGCACTGACGACATCGCACAAAGCCTTCTCGAATGCTTTCAGGACTGCGGAGAGTGTTGAAGCAGTCGCAATCGCAGTAGAGCACGCCTGCACTGTCTGCCTCGTCGAAAGGATCGTTCAGGTACGTCTGTTCGATTGGCGTTTGGGGTTACTTCCGCATTGCAGGGCCGCGAAAGAGGAAGACGGGAGTGAGTGCAAAATTGCATCAAGTAGGTACCCGAGTGACGTCGTCGCGGAGTAAGAGCAGGAGAGCTGCGTGGCCCAAGTAGGCAGTCGCACATGGCACGTGCGCCAGTAGCAAACAAACACAATATCCACCCCCAAGTGAGATTAACAGCTACGGTGTCATGCCAACCTGGGGAAAATACTGAACAGATCTGCAGGCTGATGCAAAGTAGGAGACCTAACGTTGGTGTAGGCTCCCGGCCTGTCCAATCTTTTTCCATGCATGAGTTACCACGTTCAATTCGTTGTTCAGCAACCTAACCTCTCCAAGTGAGACCTCATATCACTTGAACCTCTCTCACCTAGTGCTGATTGGCAACTTACTCCTTATCACACGCATCCGACATTTCCCACGATCCCTTTTAGAAGCTCAGGGACCATAACCGCGGCATCACCTTTGAACATCCAGTCGCCCGCCCAAACGCATCCAGGCTCGTCATAATACTCTTCCATGTTGAAATATGCGACCCTCGCACCAGCGTTCCGAGCCTTGGGTATGTACATCGCAGCCGGAAGCACGACGCCACTCGTACCGATTACGAGCAACAAGTCAAGAGGCGCAGAAGAGATGAAGGAGTGTATAGCCTCGGTGAGATTGCTTGATAGGCTTTCGCCGAAGAGCACGACGCTCGGTCGCATGAGGCTGTCGCACCGTGGGCAATGAGGGAGCTGGGTATGATCGAGAGGAGGCAGAGGGACGGACGCGTCGCTGATGTCGGATGTGATCGTGAGCGCCTCGGTGGCAGGATAGGAGACGGGCGTGTTGTAGTCGCAACGGTCGGTAGATTCTGAGGCGTGCTTGCTACATTTCATCTCGAACAAGGTGCCGTGTACTTGCGCTACCTGCTCGTCGGGTATGCCCGCTCGTTGACACAGGCCTAGGTTGTGTTAGTCGACATTCTTCCATGCCCTGACCTTGAGAGATCTGCTTACCATCGATGTTTTGATTGATCGCGAAAAATCCACTCTTCTCCTTTGCGAGTTTCGCAAGCGCGATGTGCCCCCGGTTTGGCTTTGCCTCTTGCGCACGCTTCATCCGATCGCTGAAGAACCACCATACCTTCACCGGGTCCTGCGACAGGGCGTCGATATTCGAAAGCTCCTGAGGCTCCATGCCTCTCCATCTTTTGTCATCGCCGCGAAACGTCGAAAGCCCCGAAGCAACCGACAAGCCAGCACCCACGAGGGCTAGAACACGTTTCGATGATCGCAGGTACTGTGTGAAGGATGTGAACTCGTCCATGTCGATGTCAAGAGCCGGGTCGGGGGTGGAAGTGCCGCGAAACTTGCGCGTCTCTTGCTTCGCTCGAAGTGCTGATGTCGCCTTCGATTTGGTAGTAGATGGTGAAGTCTGGGGCTTTCGAGGCGGGTTCGGGTTGATCTCTCCGAGCGCAGTCGCCATTTCCTTGGTATGGAAACTACTTTCCGCTGTAGAAGAGGCGTCGCTCGTTATGGTGTTGGGTATGCCGTTGATGCATAGTGAAGCCTTTGAGCAATGCACCTAGGTATACTGAGTGGACGCCTTACATTGTTTGAGATGACTCATACGAGCTTGATGTATCCGCGCACATCGCATTGATCAAATTGCGATGACTCTGATCTCTACCTTAGAATCGTTGGGTACATTGCAACGCTGATCTACCGGAGGCGTCTGAGGTGGTAACCTTGGAACGCATCGATGCATAACCATGGTAACAGTAGTGAGTGCGCGACGTGTGTTTGCAAGGTGGCTCACATCTCGTTTCTCTGGAAGGAGACCTGTAAAGTCGAGGATATCTGACCAAGGACTCAGGTCATGACTATCGGTCGTACGTGATCTGTAAAGAAATGCGCCGCGTCGGTGACGCGTGACCCCGGAAAGCTCAACGCGCCCATTCCAGGCGCGCATTAATCAGCGCCCGAAATCATGGGAATCTCATCCACGGTTGAGGAGTGTTGCAACAGGTGTTGTACCATTGGCTGAACGTCGCAACCGTACAGTGTTCGAATGAGTTTTGCGAGGTCTGCCCGTACTGTTGAGAACCGAGGTGCAAGCATGCGCGATGGGGGCGGGCTGAGAATGGCGCCTCCGCGGGTGAAATACAATAATTACGTCAGCGACGCGGCTGAATGTCATCCCACCACCCTCTTGCCGGCACGTCTCATCAACTCTACGAAATATGCATCAGACATTTGCTTCCTCGGAGTTCAGTCGACCGAAACACCGTGGATTACACGTCGACATACTATCTAGATCCTAACGACATGATCGACATGTCACTATGATACGCGTACCACCGACCCAGCCTCGTATCCCACGCCAAAGCTACGACGATAGTGTCCTACCGACCGCCCTACAACAGAATTATAGTTTATTGTTTAAGTGGCGACTACACCCAGTGGTAAACGGCGGCAGTATCGAGTCCGACCAAGTGGATGACTGTTTGCTGCCTCTCTCCAATTTCGCCTAAATTCTCCACCCTTCCCAACGCGCTTGCGATACGTTCACACTCAGAGGCTATATGAACATTAATCAGCGTGGGAAAAATAAACGTTCCATGCAGGGACATACGTACAATCCAGATTGCGGAAGTCTTTTGCTCGTAATGGAAAGTCGGCGATAGGCTCATTCGTCTTGACGTCGCGCATATGACCCATTCTCATCTCAGAAAGTTTGTATGTACTGTGATATTGGCGCATCGCGGTATTCCAGATACTGACATATACTTGTTAATACATGTTTCGACTATTTCGAATCCTCCGACATCACTCACTGTGCCTGAACCTGTTTGTTGAGAGCGACGTAGTTGTGATTCAATTGTCGTACCTTTTCGCATACATCGCAGACTTGCCCCAGCATATATTCCATAGCTTGCTTGATGGGTCCATCGCGTTGAGTCTCTGGGAGGGTGCCGATGGCGCGGAGTTGGGCAGCGGCTGCCTCAAGCTGCAATGCGATGTCGTAGGGGTTGTTCTCCATGATGGCAGTGGTATGTTGACGACTTCGATGGGCGAGTTCGAAGTGGTCTCTAGTCACTGAGGGGTCGATCAGCCTTTAACAGCAACTCGAAACGTCTGTGCATCTGCGAAAGGATATTCGCGGGCTTTCCAGAATGTTCAATATTGCGCGCTCTCTCTCTTCGCGGCTCTTGGGTGGATCAAGCTCTCGATCCCCTGATAATCGTTACCTCACGTCGACCAAACATCCACCCAAGGGTCTCTTCAACATCATCTGCTCTTGTATACCAACTTCAACATGCGCAACAGACGAGCTGAGCTCGCCTTTCTCGAGTCGCAGCTACACTCTACAGTCAGTCAGCTGCAAGCCATTTCCATCATCCCTTTGACTGCTGCTATGGAGTCCGCTACTGTCCGCACCGATATCAAGAACCTCAATCAACGCCTTGTGTCCCTCGAAAGGACGGTTGTAGGTCTCCACGACAATGTGTTGCGTCTTCGGGCTTCTATGGATGCCGAAAGTCGCACACTGTCTGTTGTGTACAAAGATTTGTTGGTCAGAAAAGCGAGGTGAGTGCGCATAACGCTTTGCTTTATTGTCATACTAGAACTTGATAGGGAGCACAACACACACGCGACAGCCTACAATGCTCAAGCCGGCCGACATACGATTCTGCTATCTATCCACAATCCGAGGACAAATGAGCCCATTCGTGGTTTTCCCGAGACTTTGGAATGTATTGACAATATGGGGGGTAAGTACAAGCTGTGACGTGGGCTATCGACAAGTACGAAGCTGACCAACCATTCTTGTAGATCATCAGCTCGAATATCTGTTCCGCGGACTTGACCCTAATCATGTTCCAACCTCTTGGACACTTGAACAAGGGCGAGCGCGGCTTATTGCTATTATCCAGGGTGTCGAGGAGGTTCGACTAGCCGAGCCACTACCTTCGAGGACTTTGGAGTATCAGTCACAAGATTAATAGCAGAATTGGAAGAATGAAATCCATACGCAAGCACGTCGCCGCCATGCCGAGTCGCTAGTCACGTTGCAGGAAACAGACGGTTTGGAGACTTGGATATCGAGATGTATAAGGACTACTATTCGTCTTTGTAGTCAGACCCTTCGGGGATTCCGAAATATATCAGCCTGTACCCAGATTATAGGCCACCGCGTAGTCTGTTAAAGCTCGGCTGTGTAGGTCGCGCTTCTTCTTCCGGCTGCCCACTTAACCGGGCAATGAGGACTGGGAACTCCTCGCACAACTTCGTGAACTTCTCCAATGTAGCAATGTCGAAATTCTTCATGCGTATACCCAACTCTAGTGCGGAAGCAAGGTTCTTCTTGCTGTCCCTAGCGCATTCTTCAAATCCACTTAAGTTCTTGTTCCTTTCCAGAAACGCTTCCGGTGACTTGTAGTACGCAGCAAAGCGATGAGCTTGAAGTAGCGTTGGAGGGAAGTCGATTCCATTGCGTACGCTTTGGAGGGCGTCGTTCTTGATTTCGCGAATTCGTCCCTGGACATCCTTGATCTTGGAATGCTCGTGTGTCGATTTTGGGTGTGTTACAGTGTACTTTTTCTCTGCGGCGTTGATGGCTGCGAAAAGTTGGCCGGTCGCTTTTGTGAATGCATCCCAGTTGGCGAAGCCGGAATTGATGATTGATTTTGTCAGGTCGCTGGTCAAGGCATGATATCGGTCTTCATCGGACATTGTGGGAGTAGCGGTTGAATCCGCACGATAAACTGCGCGTATGCTGCCACGTCGGGCGACTTTATTGTCGGAGATGGCCATGGGAGATGGTTGTGGCAGATGGGTGTGGGAGATGGATGTGGGAGATGGATATGGGAGATGGTTGTAGGAGATGGTTTTGTGAGATGGCTGTGTGAGACGGCTGTGTGCGCCGAAGCGAAGAGTCACATATACTGTCGCCGCATAGACCTTGAACCACGGTTCTTGCGCAGTTCTGCCGTAGATACAGCGAAAAGGTCGAGCAACTCGGCATACATTGGTTCTACTCGACAAGAGGAGTAATGTTTTCTGTTGCACAGCCAATCTCCTCTCTCGAATGTATACACATCCAGTGCTATGGCATCCGGGCTCCAGACGACAATGAAGGTCGCCGTCCAAATTCTCATTGTGCGCAAGTGCCCTTTGCGCCTGGTTGGGCTATCCAGTCTGCACTCGCATGGGACGTCGACTTCGGTGACCTTAATATTGGCAAGGTGATTAGTGCATCGGTCATCAACCGCTCTAAACTACATGGTCACTCACCTCCAGCTCGCGGTTATCCTTAGTCAGCTCTGGTCGTTGACGTGTCGGTAGCAGTGACGCCAAATCTTCGCTGATATTCGCATTAGCCTCTCCCCTGGTCCAATAGGTGCTCCACGTTACCAAAGATGTATTCTGCTCCATGCGTGTTTGCATGAATTCATCATCGCTCAACTTCTCTCTGCGCAGCTGCGCAAGCTTTCGCGATATCTCCGGACCTCTTCGTGCGCAGACTACTACCCACTCTCGCGACCTCAACCTGGGACCTCTGCGCAGCCACCGCGCTCATAGGCTGCGTACGCGGCTGCTCGGATGGTTTCCAGATCATTGTCCAGAGCTCGCTTGCCAGGTTCATCGTGTAATCGAAAGCGCCTTCCAGTAAAGGCCATATCGGCTGGTGATGCTGGTGGTCCATCGCGCGCGGTCGGTGACGGCCTCGGATGCGGATTTTGAGTATCTTTTTTCTCTCGGTCTCAAGGTGTGCCAGAATATGTGTCTTGTGAGGATGTTCGGCTAAAGAAGGTGGTAGAAACGCGCCGAGAGATAAGGTCACAAGATAAGGGTCTTGATATGGCATCGCAATGATTGGAGCAGCCCAGTGGGTCCAGCAACCTTTACAGTTTGTATCCTCACGAACCCCGCAGGTAAGGATCGACCGCCTCTTCCTGTCTTCTTCTGTCCGCTGTTGCACCGCGCTGATCAAAGCCCATGCCGGTAGTGTACGCGCTGGTGATGTGCAGCCACTCCTTCCATCAGACTCACCGGCTCAGCATCGCGCCTGTCGTCGCAAGAGTTGAGCGCGACTGCAAAATGACTACTTTCTCGTTGGCAACTGCCTGAGCAAGGCCTTCTTGCCTTCGCGGTCCATCCCGTTTACCCTTGCCACGCAGCTTAAGAAGGAGAAAGACCACGTTGGTGACATTATGCTGAGATTGCTATGGCACTTACCTAGTAGTGAAATGGAGATACAGAGAGACGAAATTTGTAGCTGAATGAACAGGTTTTAGGAGGTAGAGGTAGCGATGAGATCAGTTGACTCGATGGTGGACATGAGGCCTTGAAGCGTATTCAAGAAATCGGCTCTTGGAAAAACCCCCGTGTTCAGGAAGCTAGCGAGGTGTCGCGATGAGATAAGATGAAGCCGTGAGATACATACGGATGCTGCTGGCCGTTCGCGATGCCTATGTTGAGATTCAGGCTCACGGAGTCGAGATAGCAACTGTAGCCAGCCGCTAGTTGCTTTACGTACGTGATCATGTTCTCCGAAGTCACGACGCGTCCGTAGAGATTGGACATTAATCTGGAGAACACGATGATCGGTCCGCTGGCCAAGGAACAGACCAGTAATCAGTTTTAGAAGAATGTTGGGGATATACTCAATGGATGGAGGAGACCATAGTAATCCCGAGGACTGTAGTCAAATGCAAGCGCACGTATAAAGAAAGCTCCTCAAGAAAGAAAGTGGCTGGGGATGTCCGCTCTTACGTCATGCAAAGCACGGACATTGTCCGGAGATGACTCGGATCCAGCTGGAGATTTTGGAAAGACAAAACATCACAACTGACATCTCGGAAACTTCTTCGCAAAGCTTTGCACAACGCAGCGCTATGCACCTAGACGATCTGTTGGATAGATGAAATATGCGACTCGAAGATACATGGTATCCAGGCAGTGGACGAGGCGATGCGGGTGCTTACTCCGGTGGCAGCATCGGCCGGCGGTACCGCTTCTGAAACGCGCCATCGTTTGGCCTGATGTATCAGGCATCAAGGTCGGCCCATGATAATTTACGGCCAAAGCTGAACACTGGGCATTGAAATCTCGCACATGTCCTGTTGAGTTACACCATATGCCGAAAGGAAAGGGCAAAGAACTTGGAGATGTGTCTTGGTAGACGGAGTTGAACTTGCGCCTGGAGTGAGCAGCGAGCGCCGATCTGAACTGGTGTTCAGTTGCATCACGGCAATGGCGGGTTATACTAACAGCAGGCATGCCAGATTCTATTCGCCTACCGGCGCCGACCACCAGCCGTACGTCGACACCATGGCTATACCACCAGAGGCGCGGATCGCAGTGGAGCCGCTTGAACCACTCTGGCAGCCGTCAGCCGGCTGAATATTCTTGGTAGCGATCGCATCAGCCAACGCTGGACCGCAAAGAGAAGGAAGAAGGGGTGCGACCAAAGTCGAGCAAGAGGATGTTAACGGGGCGAAGTTTTGTCAGCATGATCGATGCCCTGAAGGATGAAGAGGCTCTCACTGCTGTCCCCGGAACCAAAGTCTACGCTGTAAGAAGCGCATCAAGAACAACATGCACAACAGTGCCGATCAACTCGGGAGATTCGTCGCAAGCCCAACACCGTTGGGACTCTGGCACGGGAAGCGAGCGTTGCCAATAACACCCCATCACTAAGTCTCTCAGCCAACAGCGCGTGCACGGCAATGTCCACCTGGCTATAGCCGCTGTCTTATTGCGCGGCGAATAATATATGACAGCGCATCGTGATTGTGCTATCGTCAGCGTTGGGTCACTATCGACCAGGCTTGAACTGGATGGCGAGTGTGTTGGATCGCTCGCTACCAGATCAGTCCCGCAGCTTGCCTCCGGTGAGTGATGTTTCGGTCAACCCGGACGCGCGTTTGCTCAGCTGTGGCCTTCATTGCCGTCGGATGTGCCATAGGGAACAAGAGACGCTGCGCGAGTGCTTCCGCGGCTTGACTGCTGGCACGGCGCTGCTGCAGTGTAGGTGGGTATCCTCGAATAGCGTCACGTCACTGCCACGACGCCGCTGTCTGCTAGTACGCGCACTCGATCATCCTGAAGCCAGTCAACGTGGACCCTTACAGCGTACCCACGCGCCCTTGATGACCAGCCGCGAGCTTCTCCGGGTGAGGGTGTGGCAGTGAGATGTCCTTGGCTGGCGAAGTGGTTCGCCTTAACGAAAACCTGGATTTGCTTCGGTACTCGCTTCTTCGCCCTGGACTTTGGAAGACTCAGGAGAGGACGCGATGCTGCCCCTTTTCGCAGCGACAAGCAGCAAATCGTCCTGAGGCGCCGATCTAGCTTCTGTCCTCTCTGGTACTCATGGATCCTACCTAGCAATCTTCGAGATATCTGTTCGAAACATGTATAAGCGAGACTGTCACGACTTGTTCCAACCGATCTCCATGTATGCGGCGTCGACACCCGCCAGACTGTAACCCTTCGTTGTCACTCAACGTCACCCGGGCTGCCAAACCATGCTGTGATCTAGATCACGTATCGGGTAAAAAGAGCGACGACACGCCTCATGCATGAAGTAACGCTGCTACATCCACTGGTCAAGAAGCTATCTCTGTCGCCGTGCCCTTGGGAACTCACTGTCATTACGCATACGCGAGCAACGCTAAAGGTGAATAACAACGGGTTATTGACGGCAGTTGAAACATCGAAAAGACAGTCGCCCGCAATTCTAAGGTAATGAAATCGTTGATGTTGTTAGTAAAAAGCGCCTCACAGTGTTATGTTATGATGGTAGTTACACTCACGATGCCACTGATCATGTGACTACGCCTTCACGATTATCTTGCGGAACTTTAACAACATCCGCGCTCGCTTACGTACAAAGATACGAACGGCATCTTCCATGGGTCTTGCGAAATTTGCCAAGCGTTTGCGCAGATACCATGCTCTGCCGTTGTGGGAAGCGGAGCTATATCAGCTCCGCATATAGCCTATGTACCTCGCCTCACGGGCGACCCGAAAAGAAGCAACTTTCGGCGACACTATTGGCTACGACTCCACTTTCTATTTTTCACAATCGTCCAATAGATTTGCGGGCCGTTGGCGGCGGAGCTGGCACACGCATCGCGCTATGTTGTGGGCTACAGCTTTTGGCGCGTCATCAACACTGCACAGCTGTGCGGCGCACAAGATCGTATGCGACACACAGAAGCAGCAAGAAAAGCCGGTTGCTTCGAAACCGGCCGACCATCTACCGGGCTCCTGGATTGTTGCCTCTTGCCTCTCTGACAGTGCACCGAAAAGGCGGGATGCGGCGACGGCACGGTACAACGCTCACTGCGCCGGAGTATTACTCGCGCCCGTTCGATATATTCCTTCACCGATTGACAGGGTACTGCGCACATGCAGGTGTTCACAGCGCCGGTGCAGCATCGCGCAGCAAGGCACCGAGCTAGCAAGCCCTTGTTGTCAATCGCCGCCGCGGTGGTGCGATGCATACATTGACGCTTGGAGGTGACCGGTCAGGCATCACGTATGGGTAAACCTCGGTGAATCTTGTGAATATTGAAACACAAGTTCATTGATAGATCAAGTATCGCGAGAAGCAAGTTACGATGAGGATGACGTAGTCTTCAATGGTCATCGAAGGAAAGGATGCGGACCATATGTGTGTAGCAGCGTTGGGCTCAGTAAACCTCCCCACATCAGCAAGTACACCTACGCCTCACGCGCCAGGGCCCTCGATCTGTTGAGACGCCTCTCTGCACGATGAGCATGACTAGCGAATTCAGCTTTCGTGAGATCGATGGCCGCGGATAAGCGAAGTCATTTCCAAATTGGGCCTTCACCCAACGGCCTCCACCTCTACTCCGGAGTACCTGCCGTGACTCTGTAGTTCTCCCCACATCCCGATGAAGCCTACACCCGCGATGCATCTCTAAGCGATGTCTCTCGGTAGCACAGGTCCTCGTCGATCACGAGTACACGATCTCCGCTTTGCGCCTCGCAATCACTTCGTTATCCATCATCAAATGGTAAACATAGCAATCGCCACCTCAACATCTAAACATGAAACGGCTGTCTTGCCACTGCCACATGGCCGACGAGGATGCCGTTACCAGCAAAAAGGCACAACGTGAGGCTTCCCAATATCCACTGCAGCGGCGTGTCGATCCTTGATGCTTCTCTTCCGCTTTCGCCTTCGGCGTATTCCGTTCGTGACCTCCACCCTCTGCGTTCGTCGGTTAGATCAACAGTAGCTAGCTCCCGAAAGAAAGCGGAGTACACGTAAGAAGGAGATCGCTACAGTTACGGCACAGCTGATGAGCAGAAAGGGAGCATCCACAACCCATGGGGGGTGCGGCATAGGCGCAACAGGCAAGGGATTGCACGGTCAGGGTCCATGGAAAGTGTAAGCGACAGACATGTGTGCCTGCGCCCATGGCAGTGGTCACGTCGGAAAAGCTTCATCATCATAATCATCATCATCAGCCCATCGGGTGGATGTCTTTGGCAAGAGATCGTCCTGCACAGGGTCAGCAAAACCTCCCTCTCGCCCCGGTTCAACCCCAATCCAGCATATGCCTGCCGCGGCATGCTCGTTGCGTGCGTGTGGCCACACCCGAGCTGGCTGCTAAGGACCAGGGTCGTCTTGGTACGGGCCAGTAAACGACGAGCTGGGTGCTCAAGAGGGAATCTTACGACAGGGTTCGTCGGATCGTGCTGCACAAACGGTCACTACTGGCTCGGGATTTGGACGAGTCGGATGCAAACCAGCGCATATCGTGAACGCCCAACTTGAAGACTTTTTTCTTCTTCTTGCTCCGTAGACTAGTAGGCAATAGTCGCGAAGCTAGGCGCACGTTTTATAGGGTGCTATAGGTGGTTTGTCTATCAACCGGTGTGACCAACGTCCAGTTCGCGTCGCTTTTCACTTTGCAAAACAAACAACCGCGCCTTCTTCGCCTCCCGCGCCCGCATCCGCTCTGCATATCCTACTTTGACCAAAGGACGCCATTTGGCGCAACAGTAGCGAGGTGTGTGCGGGAACAATGTACTATATCACTAACCCGGATATTATGAACAAGGTTTGTCCCCTTCCCGCATGCGGCATGGTCAGCCCGCGCTTTCTTAATATCGAAAGTATGATCGGTTGGCGAGGGCTCATGTGTATCTTGGTAATGGGTGATAATGCCTTGGTGTCATTAGTTCGAGACGGCTGGGAAGCGGCGTGGGGAAGGGATGGAGGTATTTGGAAAACGGTAGTTGGGGTCGTAGTGGTGTTGGTTGTGGACTAGGCATTGAGCTGGGTCTTCAGGCATCGCGTTTGGATAGGGATGGACTGCTTGCTTGAATACACTCTGATGTGGTTCCCAAATGAGTGTCAGCGCAATTATTTGGAATTGAATTCTTTCAAGCTTGTTGCTGTAGCTCACATGCGCTTGATGCAAGTACTATACCAGCATGAAGTTTGACTTGTTGCATCCGCGACCGGCCGCAACTCCGATGACACCACCACCACCTGTAAAGCATCATGCCATGCGCATCCAGATCTCATGATAATGTCGACATGTAACATGAAGCTTAAGCATCTGATCTCATCTTCGCGGCCATACTCGTCTCAGATGCGCATCTCAAACTGCTTGATCTGAAACCCATAGTTGTGGTTGAGACACAAGCCACAACCCCGGCATTGACACACGGTCATCAGCGAACATGATGCGCATAATAGCATTCCAAATTATTGATAGTAAGTGCGGGTTATGATTTACATGCGATCGCATATCGCGTATCGAAGTTGCGATGGAAGACCCGGGTACAGGTATTTGACATTAGATGACGGGTGTCATGCCTTGAGAGATGGACGTACGAGATGAATGTGAGCCACAGATTACAAATGGGTATTCTGAGAACCAAGCGCAAAACGCAGTTGTTGGCTCGAAGACCGTAGTCTAGTAAGACATGCAGAGTGTGAAGGAGATATCTGGCAAGATTGTGTCGCGTAGCAAGAAACAACGATTATGTATAGAAGAGAATAGATGCAATGCGTGGATGTAAATAAGCAAAAGCATATGACGATACCGCCAGTGATGTACAAAGGAAAAGATGTAGTGACGAGTAAAACAAAGACCAATGAGAATGCGCCCCTTCCGACTCTGCCTGGGTATCGTTTCCTTCTCTTTCACTCCCTACACCCTTGTTGTGTATCCGGAACGCTGGCCGACTCTTTCTCAATGCCGTCCATGTCAACTCAAACCTCCAACAGCTCCCTGGATGATGTGATACCAGCCCGAGCCGTCTCTTTCCCAACGCCACCGCAATGCTGGACTCGCTTGGAATGTGTCGCGCGTCGAAGGAATAATCGTTCGTAGTATCCAAAGTATGCAGGTAATTTGTAAAGGAGTGTGTATTGGAAGAGGAAGGGTATACCGTTGGCCCAAATCGTGGTACGTCGTAAAGGAAATGTGTTTAGTGATTAGGAGGCTGGTGTGTGCCCCAGAAGAGTATTGCAAATGCGGAAATCGACCACAGAGAGGCAGGTTTGTGTCCAGCACAAACCCCGCAACACTGCCCCCCTTCCGCATACGCGCATGCTTGTTGTTCATATTTTTTGTTCTCACCATGCACGCAAGCCCTCGAACTGGCCAGCCAGCCCATCGCAGTTAGAGTCGGCCAGTCATTGGTAACTTGCGCCGGGATCGCTGGGACCAGCTGCCATCTGAGACGAGGAGTAGGCACCCTGGTGTTGATGTTGTCGATGTTGTGATTCTTCCTCCTCCTCTTCCTGCGCAGCCAACTCCACAGCCTCAAGTGCCTCGGCCTTGTCCTTGCACGCGGCGGGCGAGAAGCCACTGCCAACCTTCGAGGAAATGATGCGCCATCGGTCGTTCTCGTACTCCTGCATGGCGTTGCGAAGCTTTACCACCTGTATTGCCGGTTATGGTTAGCATGTCGGAGATTGTGGATGCGATGCACGACGTCGCGCGTTTCATGACTAGGGTTGCGACTTACCATATCATCCGTCCAGACAGTGGTCTTTGCTTTGAGCTTCGTGCAATACCGTACTTGGAGTGTGCCAGAACTGCGGCCAGGGAAGAAGTCGGCGATTTGCTTCCATGTGAGGTTTTTCTTCTCTTTGAGGTCGACGAGTAACTGGTCGTCCTCGGGCGTGAACTTGAGCTTTGGGCCGCGGGGTCGTTGCGCTGGCGGGGGCATCCCTTCTTGACCGACTACGCTAGGAGGGCCATGGTGTTGAGCGGGAGAGGGAGGTTGGCCCTCCATCGGGTGATGTCTCTTACTGCGATGAGTATTTGGCAGATGGTGGTGATGTGTGGGAGGTAAAGAGGACTGTGGAGCGGGCGGCGGATACTGTTGAAGGGAGTAACCCTGGGTCGCGTGTTGTAGTGAGACGCTTCCCGTTGCTTGTGCGTAGGGATTGAGCTGCTGCTCTAAGCTCGGAGGCAGTTCGTGCTGCAAGTCGTCCTGGTGGCTGCGCTTGCGTCCGGCGGTCTGCTGGGGCGGCGGTGGGTAGCCCACGTTGTAGGAAGATGGCGAGTGTTGCGACATGGAGTGGTGGCGCAGAAGATGGGGTTGATGTAATGAATGTGTGTCGATGTCTGTGTAGGTAGGGTGGTGGCCGGCGCCGGCATGTTGCAGCGTTTGAGACTGGTGTGGCTGCAGGAAGGAGTGAGGGTGGTATCCCGGAGGCAATCCGGTATGGGAATGGAGGACATTTTGATGTTCGACGTTTGAGGTCGGTATGTGATGTTCTTCCCCGGCATCGCCTGGTACGCTGTAGTCGAGGAAAGGGCCTCGATAGGGACTCGCCAGTGTTGCGATCACGCATGGAGACTACCAGAGCTAGGTTGCTCTGGCAGGCCGCCGCAGTGAGACCTGAGCCAGAAAAAGGATGCCTGGTTTGAGTTGGTGTTCGGAGTTGCGATGGCTGTATCGCACGCGTTTGGGTATTTCGAATTTTGTTATATTGACAAATGTTGGAGCAAGAAAGGCCTAGGGGAACGCGCCATCGGTCGAGGTCTTATCGCGTGTGTTAAGCGTCTGGGTTGTCGAATATAGGTTGTAGCCTTGTAGGGAACAAACGAAAAGTACGTATGGCTGGGGATGCTCGTGGAATATAAGATTCCTGCCTGATGGGAGAAGGCATTAAAAATCTCGGGCAGTAGGTCCCTTCAAAAGCCCGGTCCGTCTTGTGCGATTGCCACACGGACACAGGATCCAAGCATGTACAGCAATGGGTCGTCCCCACGAGACGCTCTGTTCCTGAGGAGCACCAAATGAGCTTAGTAGGGAAGGCCCAGGAACTGATTCTACGTCAAGCATAATGCGGTGATCAATGACAAGGAGGGGTCCCCCGGCATGCGATCTGGACGAGTACAATGCTCGCAGACGTGGGTCGTGAGTGGCTGCTGATGCAAAATGAGATGGGCATGAGGTACTGTGCCCGGCTTGCGAGGGTCGGTGGGGCCCGGGGCGTGCGCGGTCCATGCCATCGTCGTTTATTTCTAGAATGCCGCCAGAAAGATCTCCAACGCCGTTGCAGGCGCTGCAGGAGGGATCCTGGCGCAGCGTGGTGGCCAGGAGATGTGCATTGAAGACGTTCTGAACCGGCTAGCAAGACGGCAGGGGCTCGAGGCGATTCCCCGAAGAGGCAGCGCCACGAGCGAGCGCCGTCTGCCAGATTGATGAGACGCAGTCTACCAGACACGGAGCCAGGAGCGCGGGAGAGGTGCTCGGGTCATGCTCGGAGGCGAGTGCTTCCAAACGGCCTGGCAGAGGGGTGCTGTGACAATGATGGCATTTTTTCATGGCATCTCAATGGCATACACGCCCGGTGCCTCAGTCGACGGCACTTCATGCCTGGAAGAGCCTTACCCGGGCTCAGGGCCCCATGGAGCATGATGCTGCTGGCGAAGAAGCGGTACTCGGATCAGGGCAGGACAGCTGTCGATGCCGGCATTTACGCAGCCGTAGCACCCGCCTGTAAGCAGTGGGACCGAGCGATGGCAGGGCTCTCGGTCATGGTTCTCTAACGCATAGGCATGACGGCCTCAGATTGGCTCATGCGTGGGCCGTTTCAAGGTATAGAGTCAGACCCTGCCCTATATGCGCTTCGTCACCCCCCATGAGTTGGGATCTACCAGCCACAGAAATATCCCGACGCCCGCATTGGATGACGCACTTCGGCCTGCTGCAGACGCAGCGGGTGTACGGAGTGCTGGTGGCAAGTAGAGATGAGCACTGCGAGAGAGTATACCTGAGACAGCAGCCAGGTGTTTGAGGCGGGCGAATGCGTGAGGCGTTGTGGGGAGAAGGAGCAAGCGAGGACGACAGCGGGCTCGCCTGAGTAGCGAGTTCCCGATTTTAGCGTCGACGTCGAATCGCAGCCGGCCGCGATCTTCTGGCCCGCAAGCCTCGCATACAGGTCATCTCTCGACTGCATGGGCGAGATGAGGCATCGCGAGTCCAGGGCGTCGTGCCGCTGCCTACACGGTCGCCCTATGTGCGCCACGACGGATGCGCTCGCCGAAGAGGCAACCGCATCCTCCTGGCGCGCCCTCACCACCAGCCGCTCTCACGTGACGACTTCACGACGGACGCGCTCCCCGGCTGGAGGCTGGGATCTCCCTGCATCTGCAGCCCTCGCTATGACCTCACCGCCGTCGCCATGTACGACTTTCAGGCCTAGCGATAGTCTGCCAATCTTCAAGTACTCGACCAACGGCGCATTATCCATTTAGGCTGATGCACGCCATTGCGAACTATAGGCTCGCGGAACTGCACGATGCAGCCCTCACCACGCTCCGTCCAACAGACCGCGCCCTTCACCGCGGCCACGCCGCCATGTCATCTGGCCTGCGTCGTGAGCGGAGCGCGTGCAGCGCATGTACACGGTGAGTAGAAGCGCGTTGCGGCGCATTGTGGGCGACCAAGTCCCCCCGACGCGCAATCTACTGTCGACGTTACGGCACGGCTTCGTGCAAGCGCGTCGCGACCACATCTCGCGCCCGTTGATATGGTTCGGTAGCATAGCCGGAGCGTTCGTCTGGGACTCTGGGTAACTCATGCCGTTACACGTGGGCGTCGCGACCAAGATCGCCCCAACGACACCGTTGATCGCACGAAAAAGAAAACAGCGATCGTCCTCTGCGCCATGATTGCTACACTGACGGCAAAGGCGCGTCGTCTATGTGTGCTACAAATAGCCAGGCGGATTCTGCCGATCTGCGTGCGGCAGTAGGTGAGGCGGAACGTTGAGGTGTGGTGTGGCGAGGGGTTGAAACATTCAACGAACCGCTGCAGGCTGCCGAAACCAATTCTACCAACTGTTCGTTGACGTGAAACGATAACACAAGCAAGATCGGCCAATCGCCGCTTCGACAGGCAAGACTTTGAGATGCTCCCCACATGCGACAGTCCGTTATGGCATGGATACATTGCCGACTATTGCTAAGTAAAGACATTCGACATTATATCCAGGATGGAAGCTCCCTCAGGACTACAACCAAATCCCGAAGCGAGAGGATGACCGCGGAGAAACACAATAACATTGGTCAGCGCTGCCGAAAACTGCTAAGCATCTTTTGGAAAGAGAAGGCGACTAAGGCCTTGTGTACTCCGCTGCCGAGAACCACGTCCGGAAACACCAAGAAGGACGAACGGATGCCCACAGCACTTTTGCGCATGCGATGCTCGATCAAGATAGGAAAGCTGGTATCATAAGCGGGCCCCACCGCACTAATTCCGGAAAGATGCAGAGTGTGATCATAAGTGTCGTTCAGTACTTGCCGCCAAAATTCTCCTTTGCGTACTGCTCGCATGCCTGGTGCACGTCAGTACAAGCTCATGCACGCGAAGACTACGTTTGGAGACGATCAAGACATACTTTTGCAGGCTTGCCAACCTTCTGACCGATGACCTTCCATTTGTTGGCATCGTATTCTTTGATGGCGGCAAGCAGCGCGGCGCTCTTCTTACTCATCAGCACACTCTCAGAGGGACGGAGCTATAGCCTCTAACTCACTTCGTCCTCAGCGAACTCGGCATAGTGCATGTCCTTGAAGGTCAGTTAGAGGGTCCGCAGTGGAACAGTACTGGTCGCATGCCCACCTTGTACCAATGTTTCTTTACACTCCCTTCTGTCCGCTGCGGGAACGTCTACCAACGGTCAAGTCAGCTAACTGTTCTCCGGGAACACGGCAGTTGTCTGATCCGGCAAGCGTTCTCCTCACCTTTGCGATCTCGCTCCAGCTGTTTCCAGCATCTCTCATTTGTTTCAATCTCAATTCCTCAGCTGGCGTCCAAGGCGTATTTGTCCGACTCTTCTTGGTCTTGGGCTCCTGTGCAGCATCGACATCGGCCGTTGGTGGCAACACAGCACTGCTCGCTTGCGCCTCTGCACTATCTGCAGTACCTGCCATCTGTTCCTGGGACTGTCCGAGGGTTACAGACTTGCGCTTTCGGCTCGTAGGAGATGGCAGTGGCGGTTGAGCGCCAGTGTGAGCCTCTGGATTCGCCGTGGTGAATGACGCCGCTGGCTGTAAACTGGGCAGCTCTGGCGGTCCAGAGTACTGAACGCTCGGTTGGGGGTTCGCTGCAATGGGCGACGGTTTCAGGCTACGCTTGGTGGAGGGCGAGGAGCTGTCGGGGGCCACAACGTCAGCGCGCGCGGCAAGGTACCGAGTCGAGTAGGGGAAGTATCTCAGAGTCGCAGAATGGGGACAAGACGAGACGGATATAGTGGAAAGACTCACGACATGGCGGCAGACGGGGCGATAAGACCTAAGCCAGGCAGGCGGCAGCACGAGACAGCTTCACTGGGGAGAGCAGGATGCGCCTATAGAGTGTAGTGTCATGCTCGTATATTACAGCTTCAGGACCACTTTCAGAGGGTACGACGGCCAGACTGGAGGCAGTAGATCATCATGATATCCAAGGAAGCAGATGGCCTGTCGGTGCGAGCGCTGATCAAGTACAAGGGATACAAAGAGGGTCAGGTTGGCAGCAGACGGGCGAATGGGAGGATGGCATAGGCATCATGGTGGAGGACGAGGGCGACGCTGTGAGGTTAAGTGGCCGAATGCTAGCGGGGGTCGGCGCCCAAGATGGGGAGGGCAAGTACTAGTACTTGCCCGCTAGTGAATTGAAGGTGGTGGTCGAGGTATAGATACGCGGGGACGCGCTGCAGACAAGAAGCGGGGTAACAGGCTCTAGGGCCCGGCTCTGATGAACAGGTGGCTTTGAGGTTACGGGGACAGCGCGACGAGTGCTTAGAGGGCAGCGGAGGTAGAGTGCGCAGCGCGTGACTGCTTCATGCGTGTCCAGCATACATGCGAGTGATGCGGAGCGCCCCCGATCGGGTGTCGCGACATGATGACTGTGTATACAGACAGCCACGGCGCCGGCGGAGTAGTGGGAGCGACAAGCGCATGTTGTCATGAGTGTCATGGCGATTCCCATGCCGGGTCGAGTAGAGTGACTCCAGATCAGGTCACCGTGGAGTCGCTACCAGGCCAGATGGCGTGCCGTAGTGGTGACGGAGTTGCTGG